TAACATTATCAAGAGGCTGAGTAATGATGATTTCATGACATTTCATTGAAGAACAAAGTCTCATCGAGATTTGGCAAATTACCAAATCGATGAGTATATTCTATCGTAAGTGCCAAGTTAAAGTTTCCCTTGGAAAAATACACCAAGTTTGATTGCTGAAATTAAAAATTTAGCTGCAAATGTCAATAAACGGTTATCAGCCGTTCACAGTGCTATAATGTAATGCAATCAATTTCATTATCACTAGCTAAAAAAGTTGGCTGCATAACATCGTAGTATAGGGTGTGTGTCCAACCGATCCAATTTTCTTTGTCAATAATTTGTTTCATTTGAATTTTTTTGTTTTTCCTACAATACGGATAAGTAACAATTTACTAGTTGTGTCATATGTCAATAAATATCTATTAATTGAATTGAAGTTGCACGTAATCAAATAGTTACTGTACACTTTCCAATCAATACATCAATATTCTCATTGAATTGGCGAGAATACAGCCATAAGTAGGTATTTAGATAATTTTTGAAGTAGCTGACCTGTAAACTTGTGAAGTAGTTCCACTTCATGAAAGAAAAGCAAGTAAAAACGACAACTAAACCAGGTAGGCATGTAATCCATGTTCAGTAGATGCCATGAGGATTTTAACCTACCACAGGTAAGTTAAAAAAAAAAAACATACATTTATGTAGAGTGAATTTGACTTCACACTATTACCAAGGAAGATAATGCATTAGTACACGGAATAAAGAAACACAAAAAGTAGAGCTGCTGCAACACTTGCGCTCGTTTTCCTAACCACCCGCTGAGAGAGTAGATGTGCTTTTTTATGACATATGCATGCAGTAACATCAAAACTGTGGTCTTTCTTTTACGTAAGTTTCTGCATATACTCGCAGTCGTGAATTCTTTTGTGAAATCGTGATCGTGTGTAGCACTCGATAAAAGAGAATCAACTGAATACGGTACGTGTGGGTGAATTCTTGCACTTGTAAAAATTAGTCAACGATCAAATATTTAAACGCCTTTATGACTCATTTGCATATGTTTAATTGGCTACAACACGGCATTTTCAACGGTGCACGTAAGTTCAGGGTTAAGCGGCTTGGGCTCGAGAGGTACAAACTGTGTTGGCTTCGGTTGCAAAATATCCTCGTTAATGATATTACGCTCAATACAAACGTAAATACGTATATAAAATAAATAGATATGCCGAGTTTTTTTCGCGCACGGGGGATTGGAGCGGGATGTCGTCACTTCCACCGAAATCGAGCAATTATCACTATTAATTATTCGTCTAGATCATTAGAGCAAATTTTATGAGGCCAATTTGGCTTTGCACTACCATTTTAATGTTTTCATTCTAAAAAAATTAGTACGAATGTCAAAGGGAATAATATAATTACAGCTGCGCTAGTTTAGAAATATCGTGATCGTGTTTCGATCGATATTACGTTAAATTGAGACTATTTTTTAAAATAAACGAATAATTTTATAACTATTTTAAGCTAATTGGGGGTATAAATCAGTGAATTTTATCATACATTATTCATATGTATATTATAACACATATTTTTCTACATAAAAGTATGAACAGTATTTTATTTTCCAACTTACTATTTTTTATTAACTTTCCACGTTATCTGTCGTAGTTGGTAGCTGTTCCAAATAATTTAAAAGTAAGAACAAAGCTACTACTTAGTTTGCTACTAATCGGAGTACCTACAGTGTCCGAGACCCATAAAACCAATGGTGTACGGAAACAAAAAATAGTCCATGCAATCCATCCATTCCATTTATTCAAGTTGAAAAATGTAGTTTTAATGATGTTAGCCATAAGTACGTAGGTACACTGCGAATCGAGTTGATTACGCAATAAAAGAGTGATGCTTATGAAAAAAAATGTTTTCAAAAAAAAATATTACAAATTTCAACTATTTTTGTATGCTCCCGACATACACAAGTGTTTAACGTTACACTGACAGAAACTGGGCCAAGTACTCGAAGACCGACTTGTCAGAGTGTACAGCTTTCTTCAACGACCGAGCCTCACGGTCGCCTACAACCGTGTAATTTAGAAAAAAAATATTCACTGATCATTCAAATCCATAATAGAAAGTGATGTGTCTGCGCTGACCATCTGATGACAAACTAAATTGAAATTAGTGGTAATAGAGATTTGATGTATAAAAACAAAGTTATACTCATACCACAAATAGTGAAGCTAAAGTAGTAGAAACGGAAATTTTTTTTTGTCTATTTTAAACGTGGTGTAGATGGTGTGGAATATAATTATTACATCCTGCGCATGTTAATGCAACATCGTACAAGTATATGTACATACTTTGACGCAACGGTTACGTGAGTAGGATTCGAAGTTGAAATATGTTACAGTTGCAATCATTACCTAAACGTATACATTTAAATTCAATTTAATTGTCGAAGACGATGCAGAAGCTCACATTAAAAAACATTGAATAGCCGAATAAAAATCGTACGTGTGCATTCATGTGTTCAAGGTACTTCTCATCCCCTATACGATGTTTATTATAAATAGACTAGTTACTCTCTATACGGCAGTTCTACAGCCTACAACGTGAGCAAACAATTTCACAACCGAATCATTTCGGTACAACTGACGTTCTGTTTTCTCGCAGTTGAGAGCTGTAAATCGCAGTTTTGCCAAACATCGAAGCAAACATTGGTACATACGCAGGTCGCTATTAAAAGTCCGACTGGAGTTGACTCTCGAGAAGCTCGGTGAGGTGTTGGCAAGAAGAAGACGGAAAATTATTGGATCGCTCCGAAAAATAATTTTCATAGATGTGCGATTTCACGAGTGAATTGCAAATAGCCGTACGGACAACCTCGCTACGGTCAATTAATGTCAGCTCCCGATGCTGTTAGCTCACCGGTGCGTTTTACACGATTTTCCAGAATAGCGGAGCGCGCGATTTCTTTCGGCAATTAGTTTTTACGTTCTTGTACGTACCTATATTATATAGATGGCGATGGTGAAAATATGGAGTAAAAAAATTGCGTGTACCTGACGAAACTGTTTTTTTCCTTTATTTTTTTCTAGCCGAGATGTACATTATATCAACAGATTTATGGTGACGATTTGTTCAGGGCTCGCGCTCAGTAATAAGAGCAGTGCTGCGTTTATAAAATAATTGTGGAATATTGGCGAATGTTTCTTCACCATCGAAGATTCGGGTTGCTCCAGTGCAGGGCTAATAACTTATGAAAATTATGGTATCACGCGTTAATTTTGAATAAATTTTCAATGGGTTTATTAAAAACATGTCGATTTGCAAGTGGTACGCGCTTTGAAAGTACCTTGTATACACGGCGTTGAAGAGCGTTTGATCGTGTCCAAACATCGGTAAGTATACTTGTATGAATAATTATTGACGGAAGATATTTAAACATTTTCAGCTTTTTACAGTATTTATAGAAAGTTTGTAGCTGCATTCTTCGAAAATAGTTTCTATATCTTTAAGTGTGTGGAGCATTGTAACTATTGTTACTTTTGCGGCTATAGAGAATGTGCTCAGGAATTTTGGTAATTTTACTGAGATTTGAAAGAAAAGTTTTGGAATTACTTTGGTGAAAGCTTTTTTTCGAATAGTGTCTATAATTTGCTACTCCTTATTCATCAAAAGCTACACGAAACTCGAATTTCCAATTTTCCCTCTCTCTCTCTTACCGTCAACATCTCCACATAGCTCCATGTTATAATGAAGCATTGTCATCTTTGGAAAAAGCACTAAACCATCCCAATGCCCCGGAAATTTTAGCACCTCATTCGTACAATTGCTTCCACCTCTTCAGAAGGACCAATAATTCACGCGCGAAATAAAAAAGGAAAGTGAGATATCGCCGGTACATCATTTCTAATCTCATCGATCCAATAAATCTCCCCATCGTTGCACAAACAATTCGCAAGCATACGCGCCCTCGATGGACCGACGCGTTGTGTATGTATTAATTAGGCGTCGAAAATCATAACTCGCCGAGGCAGAAAAGTCGAACCGTATACTCGGGTCATTAGCACGCACGTAGCGCATAACTCAATACACGCGCGCGCGAGCACCGTTTAATGAGCACTCGCGAGAGAGAGAGAGAGAGCAATCGATCTCGATTCAATGCGCGAGCCTCATCGCGTTGCGTTACCGCAACGGTTGTACGGTGTGGCGAAACAACCCGCGGATGTATACATACACGCATTTGTCTCGGATGAGCTGACTCTGCGCAACGTATACACACACACAAACACACATGTCCCATTTGTTTTGACGCGCCGAGTCATTCCTCTTGGCGTGTACACACACGGAGGGTTGGTGAATCGCGAGGTTGTGCAGTCACAAGAGACGTCGACGGGAATCGAGCGAGTCGATTGAAAATCATTTCACGCGGAGTATTGTTCGGGCAAGGCCGAACCCAAGGGGGAACTGTCCGAACTCGCTTTTGGGGTTGAGCAACTTTTTGTACCTCGTACACTGAGGAGCGCGAGCCGAAATATCGATGCATCACCAAAGAACAAGCGCTCGCTGTCACGTTTGATCGACGCGTCTTTAAATATACACCAGGGGGATATACAAGGATTACGCTCCGGTCGCGCAACAAATCACCCTTTGTCAAAACCATCGAGAGCACGCGATGGACATTTTCACATCACCCATCAAGTTGGCAACAGGAGCGCGCCGGGGGAGCTGTAAATCTTGGATTCCGGCAGAATGCAGTTTCTCCTTTCGGTTTCTTCATGCCTGCACGCGTGTTTGGTGGATGATGGGTGATGATATCGGCTCGCAGGACAAAAGGGCGGAGGATTCCACGGAGTGGACCCGACCGCGGTAGCTCCTCCACCTATACACCCCCCACTCCGCGGGAGTCGGCGGAAGAGGCGCTGGCGCGCCGTATAAAACCAGTGAAAGCGCTCGCCGGCCCTCCAGACTGCCGCCGCAGCACAGTCTGTCAGCGACAGCAGCCACGACCACACGCGTTCGCGCCGCTCCATTCACTCGCTCGCGCGGGTATATTATAATTTTACAGCCGGTGTCGTCCCTTTGCCTTTTTTATTTTGTTGTCAAACGGACGCACAAGTGAATACACGAGAGGGTTTTCGTGCGTGACCACTGTCTTGGTTGTTGTTTTGGTTGTCAAGTATTGATTATTGTTTTGTTTGATTGAACGACGCCAGTGATCATGAAGATGATGCTTGTGCAGTTGTTGGCCCTGGCCCTTTTGGTGGGGGATCGAGTTTCCGGCTATCCGCAGGATCGAGGCTTACCAGGTGAGTCGGCGTATTTTTTTCTTTCGTTCCCCCCCCCCCCTTGATGCTTTTTGTTAATGCAAAATCAATGAGAGCCGTCGATGATTTGTCAAGTAAATCCGAGAGCCTATACTTGCTACTAAAGTGCATTGTTGGTACAGGATAATCATTTTATATTCGCAATCGGGTATTAGAACCCATAGGCTCCGGTGGTGCAATTAAATTATTTTCTCCTCTGACCTGTGCGCCGATTAAAATTTTTAATAGACCCAATTTCTCGAACGAACACGCGCCGCGAAAGCTCATTATGTGCTGGTACACACGCTCTCTTCTATCGGATTCACGGTGAATTAATGAGTTCTCAGGTAACACCTTGGAAAAAATTTGTATTATAATTACCAGGCGAAATCTGTTTTGTAATACATTAACAGTTTATGGTTTGTGCAATGTAAAGTTATAGTTATAGTTTCAAACGAAATGGATGCAGGAATAAAATTAGAAAGAAAAAAGAAAAAAAGAAAAATTGAATCGCAAAAATTTATGTAATAAGCCAGCATTTTAAGTGTATTATTATCCCTGCACATCCGATAGAGTCGATCTCGTAAATTTCTTCCCCGAGGATTAATACGTTACATTTATATTACATACTTCAAAAGTCCGGAGCTCATGCATCAAAGCGAGTATTATGTAAATTTAAAAGTAGTCCGTACCCGTATGTAACGTACGAGATTCACTTTTAACTTAATCTGAGTAATTGTACTTTATGGTGTCCCGCGGTCTATTGAATCAGTGTCGTGCGTGAGGTGAAATTATATACGATCTCTTTCAATAAATCATGGCTCTAAAATCTTGTAAAATTACTCACTTAACCAAAATGAGCGCTTCTATGACGAAACTCGCTCAATCGACCGGTCTTTCATTATCAAACGATTACAATTTTTCAAAAAACAAAAAAATCAATTGTGCAAAAAGCGTCAAACTTGATGGAGTTGGAAAGAAAAATTCCTCCGCGTGAAAAGGTTTCAAAAGCCGTACTATTGCGCGCGAGGCGGCGTTAAAAATCGAATAAAAGAACACACAACAAGGAGCGCGCGCGATGGTTTGCAAAGTTCAGGGCTCCGCACAGACACACTGGCAAAAGGCACTTGCACAATGGCTCTAAGCTTGGCTAGTACACACGCTTATCCTCGATCGAACGTGGAATAATAAGATGCAGCTGCGGATAGAGAGGCCGCGGTTAGACAGACGCTGCACTTACTTAGACAAGCCCTTCGCTAGTGATGCATGGAATCACTTAACTCTTTTTTTTTTTTTTTTTTTTTTTTTTTTTTTTTTTTTACTAGATTTTACTTCTAGAATTTCGACACTTGAAGTCTGAATCAGCAAAGGAACTTCAAAATTTCCCTATTGTGTAAATTGTATAGGCTGCACACAGTTGCTAATAAATAACACTATCACTGAGCAACCCAATTCTTAGAATCAAAGAAAATTTCTTTACCCTCATTCCGTTAAATAAATTTTCTTTTAATTGAAACAAATTTAGTCGATCCAAAAAAACATTTCGTACAACTAAATGAGAAATTCGTAATTAAAAAAAGGAAATTTTAATTTAATAAAATATTATTTTCAATTAACTTATATTTTTTTACTCATAAGAAAATATTTAACGGAATGAGGGTGGAGAAATTTTCTTTGATTCTAAGAATTGGGTTGCTCAGTGATATTGAAAATCAGCCTCTGTGTCCACTAAATTAACACTTGGATTGCAATACTATACTGTACAATTTTTTTTGGTGTTTATTTGAAGTACTTTAGTAAATGCATTGTTAGGTAAATTCATGAATTTCATTTAATTGAGCATACTTATAGTAGATCGAGTAGCTTTATTAAGAATTTTTATTTTACACTTATAAAGTGCTTATTGTAAGAAATATGCAATAAATTTTGTGGGAGTGTTCTATACATAAAAATATATCTTGACTATGTTATAAACACAAGGATTAAAAAATAACAATTTATTAAAAATATTTCTTACAACCTCTAAAAATATTACATTTAACTTTTCATTAGTAATTAATCTTAAAGTCAAATATCTTTATGTTATCAAGCAATTTATATTTAAAAATTTCATTGAAACCATCATAAATACTTTTATATTAATTTTTGTAAGTCACAGTCATTTACTTTCAATAAATTTTAATAAATACTCGTTAATTAAATTTTTGACATAGCTACAGATGCCGTGAAAATACCAGAGTAAACAAATTAAAAATACGTGTAGGAACTTTCTCGCCTATGTTTTCCCAGCAAATATTCCAAAACTGTATTTTTTTTTTTTTTCGACTAGCTCAACATTTTTTAACCACATCTCGTCACGAGCGAATCATCAAATTTTCCGCTGATCTAAGCCCATACATCAAATGTATCATAAAATTTCTAAAAAAAAAAAAAAAAAATATACTCCCGCCTGTTAACATTTGGTATACAAATTACCGCGTCCAATCGAACTTGATTAATTGTCGCGCTTAAACCATCAGCATTTCAATAAGCGTCGATAAATTAAAGCGCGTCAAGCATAAATTATATCTCCCAAAGGAAAAAAAAAAAAAAAAAAAAAAAAAAAAAAAAACAGAACATGACCAGCAAAAGAACAGCGCGCGGGAATATAAATATCAAGAGCCATTAGAAAACTGGATTGATCCGTCTCGCGATAAGCGACGTCGCGCTGGAGGTGAGTACCACCGAGTGAACCCACACAAACGCGTGCACACGCGAAGAATCAGCCCGTGAAAGTAGTCCACTTTCTTCTTCTTCTCTCCCGTTTTCAGAGCCCAACAAGCAACGACTGCACACTCGAGCGGACACTTCTCGGATGGACCCTTTTGGGCCGTTTGCCTAATTGAATTCGCGATTTATCACGTCCACGCGGGTACGCATGTTTGGCGCCGCGGATGTTAATATAATGGCTCGCGAAAGAAAGTTGCTGCGAGTACCAGTGTGAGCAGGTTTCGCTATCGATTTTAACGTTGAACGGTTTCAGGAAAAGCGACAAAAATGACGCAAACTTTCATTTCTTCCGAACACAAAATCCACGCGAGTGAGCATGTACGCGATTTTCAATGAGACGCGGCATAAAGACGTAGAAACTAACGCCATTAAATTTTGTTGTTGTTTTTTACCCCCCTCCTCGATAGGCGATAGCATGTAATGTTGGATTTTTTCATGCCCGGGCAAACTGGAATGGTTCATTGGTAATGGTGTAAGTAGCAGTTGTGCGCAGGTACACAGCACGAGCTTGTCCATCGAAACGCAAAAAATGATATTTTCAAGTTTACGTTCAAGGCTAATTTTCTCTCGGGCCGTTATCTAAGCAGATACGGTGAAAAAAAAGAGCCCGACGATAGCCCACTTTGGAGTCCATCACCGAGCCCGAGATCGGATGTGCGTGTCGTGCAAACATTGAGTCCCAAGCGCAATAATTTTTTTTTCCCCCAGCTAGAAAAATGACGGCGCGCCTCGTTAAGAGCCTCTGCTCCGGCGATATAATGAGTGGCACGGCCTAATTGCCCCTGCGAGGGGGCCCAAGGTTAATGGGGTTCGCGATCGCGCCTCGCATCGATAATATACCGCCACCGATCCACCCTCGGGCGATTTTACCCAGCCATTAGAAGAATCGGCAGTACTGCCGACGAGCCGAAAAATCTATGTAAGGCATCTCTCGATCGGCAAGCCGAAACGAAGCAATTACCTGTATTCTGCCCGTGTCACTTTTGGTATTAATATTTGTAAATAAGCATGTTCCACATTTTTCGCTTGACTGATTGCAAGTGTTGGATGTGCCGTGTTCCCTAATTAAACGAATGAAATCCGAAATTGGAAAATCATACGTCTTACCTGTAAAAGGCCTGCCTGCCGAGCGCGGCTCTTTTCTTTAATCACCCAAGGTTCGGCGTCGCTCGGTGATTAGCAAAAAACTCCGGAGCCCTTCTATTGAGCTATCACGCGGCAGCGACGGTACACGTTACGGTCGGCGCTAACCAGCCCTCGTTACACTGCGCTCTCTACCGATCGCCAGCGCCGTGCGAGGAATTCATAAGGTCCGTACTTGTACGCGCTCGATGGAAAATTGCACCCAGTGTGTGTATACCTACCTTGGGTATAATTGCGCGTGTAGCTGTGAAGCGATCGGCAAAAGGGGTGTACCGATAATTGGAGCTCTGGACCGGGTAATCACGAGCTTTAGCTAATCGATCGTCGCGGATGGCTTCGTTCGGAGATCGGTAATTATGTGGGTGTCGTGGGATCTGTGGCTGTAAATCCACGATTACCGCGGTCAGACAAGGCAATGGAATTGATTTTGACTCGCGAGATCGTTACCCAACAACGGCTCGGGTATTTTTGCGAGTTCTCGATCGATAGCGATATCGGTGGAAACGTAAGGCTTTCAGGGATTTTTCAGCCAGACAATCAAATATTCCGATCTCCGTGAGTGATCGTTTTTATTGTTTCCTCTCGACGTTGTAGGAAAATATGTCGAACGCTGCTTACGAAATTCATATTGAATTGCACTCGTTTGACTGACAGTTTTGATTTCAAGTGACTCTTATTTTTCTCTACACCCGCGTTACAGCTCGCAGGGAACGACCGAGTCAAGATTGATAAAGCTCGGGATTTGAAAATGGAAAAAAGTATTTTCGATTTTGCGACAACAATAATTTTTGGTTTCTTCATTACTCATCCACACACCCAAAACTGTCAGGACCCTATAGAAACGTATAGACTCGGAGTTCGTAGCAATCGCGAAAAGCAGCCTCATATTGCGCAACAATATACATCGAGAAATCGTATACGGGCGTAAGAATTATGTGCGAACATTGGTACACACAAGCAATCGGCCGCCAAATCGTGAGCGACTGGCTGGAAAATCGGCAAATCGCTACAGCACCAAGCGCATACATGTGTGTATCTGATCACTCGGAGCGCCCAATTAGCCCTTCATTGTGAACGATAGCGAATATTTG